TAATAAATAAATAAAATAAGAAGAAATTCCATGAACTTTCGGATCAATCCTCGTACATGTCAGTCATTAAATTTATATAATATACAGTATGCATAAGGGAGACCAAATGTATTATTACTGCATTAAGGAGACCAACCACTATCCATATGTAAATCAGTATTCAACCACTTTCACTTAATAAAAAAATAAAATATGAAGAAATTCCATCAGCATTTGAATCAACCCTCGTACATGTCAATCATTAAATTTATATAATATACAGTACGCATAAGGGAGACCAAATGTATTATTACTGCATTAAGGTGACCAACTACTCTCCACATGTAAATCAGTATTCAACCGCTTTCACTAATAAATAAAAAAAAATATGAAGAAATTAGTGATGAGACATCGGTTAATTTTCATAATTGATCATCGGTTGGAATTGGTTACTGCTTCTGATGCGATTTCACCGATTATAATCGGATTTCTTCATAGTTTTGTATACAAAAAGCAGACTATTACAATAATTTCATTTATTTCTTTAACATGAATATATAAAATACATAATATATTATTTTCTTTGTTGTTTTGCTTCTTTTACACTTTCTAGACCTAAAAATATTTACAGTGGACACCCAACATGGCTGCCTAGCGGCAGAAAACGAACTTCAAAAAGCTGTGGGGGGAATTGATCACTCTATATTTAAGGTAAATGTTGACTAAGTTGCATATTTTATATCTCAAATAAAAGATACAATTAATATTTTTTGAATAAAAAGAATCAGCTGATTGATCAAACCAAAGAGCAAACACAGATTTGGCAGAAAAAAAATTCACCCGGGGGTAAATTGAATGGGTCGGTCGGGTTATTACAGGAAACAAAAATAATTTTTTTTAGGCCCTATATATGCATCTTCGGTTCTTAATCACCTCTGCTTCGTGCTAGTTGGCTAGTATCAGATGCAGATGCCATTTTCTTTCATTAAGAAGAAATAAATTTTAAACCAGAAATGTATTAGAAGTATGTTTCCGATGATCGATTATGAAAAACTATAATCGATCATCGGAATCAGTAGCATTTTTTTTGTCGACAATCGATGTTTTCTGATTATCGGTACAACACTAGAAGAAATTCCACGAACTTTTGGATCAACCCTCGTACATGTCAGTCATTAAATTTATATATTATACAGTATGCATAAGGGAGACCAAATGTATTATTACTGCATTAAGGAGACCAACTACTATCCACATGTAAATCAGTATTCAACCACTTTCACTAATAAATAAATAAAATATGAAGAAATTCCATGAACTTTTGGATCAACCCTCGTACATGTCAGTCATTAAAGGGGGAGTTTCGATAAGGCCGTTTTTCGGCCCCTCACGAAATTTTATGAAATTTTGATATTTTGTAGAAAAACTTCTAAACTTCCTAAAAATATGAAAATAATTTATGTTACGCATTTTCCGGTCACGTGATAATTGAAAATTTAAGTATACCCCCATTTCGTATATTTTGGGAGTAGACATTTTCATAGGGGGAAAGTGGATTTTTTAACTGTCAAAATCGTAAATGAAATAGGATAAATATGAATAAAGACATAAATTAACCAATCTCAACAATTTTTTTACGGAAAATAGTGTTTATCTTATGCGAATGTTTTTTAAGGTGCGATATTTTTCTGGTGTGTCAAATGTTACTTTTCTTTAAAAGAGGATGGATTTAACTTATGAAACGTAAAATATATAGAAAGATTTAACATCATAATTAATCGACAATTTATACATAAACTATATAATCAATATTTAACATTTTCCCATACGAAAAATGCAAATGAAAAGATATGTAGACATGAGATAGGTGAATGTAAAAACGTCATATACAGTTATATGCACTACATTTTCATCAATAAGGTTATACAACTACATGTTTTATAAAAATATACCTTAGTATCATAAAATTGAAATTAAATAACATGTTTTGAAATAAAAAGATTAAAAAATATTTTAAATACATACATGAATAAAAAGTTTACTTAAAAGCATCATATTGCTAGGTAAGCCAGTACATTGTAGGTGCAAGGTAAGAAAAATATTTTATCTGGCGTTCGCCACATAATTATTCGGCGGCCCCTTCAGAAGAAGAGCTCTATATAAAGATATACAAAAATTATCAAATTTTAAAACAAAAATGTATGAAATTTTTCTTTGCCAAATAATAGTTGACAGCTTAAGATATCATGTCTAAAAAATTAAGTTATATCTGATGGTTAATTTGTTGACCCCCCAGCCTCCTTAAAGGCAGAGATTTTAAGCACCGCCTTCGAAAATACCTGGTCTGTGTACCTCTGTCAATCAAGTGCATTGAGGTATATCATTGGGTGCTACAATTTGATTGGCAAAAACACTACAATTTTATCTGGCGGCCGCCAGATATTTCAATGGCAGAAACTTATCTGGCGGCTGACAGATAACATTTTTTTTTACCTTGCACCTACTGGCTTCTGTATATTGCAATGTATTTGATAATATGAATGATATTGATTACAGTCAAAAGTATTTTATCATGATACGTAATATGATGGAAAAATCTATAATGCATTAAATTTTCCTTCTCATTATGAAACTTATAAGTATTTGCCCACATAGATCTGCATAATGTTTTCAGCGTAACTGAGAGAATCCCAGCCAGGACTTATTTCCTCTCGCTTCTCAAATCTCCAGAGATACTTAAGTTTTTACACCATTTCTAGTCACTTCTCATTTAGAGAGTTCTAGAATTCATTATATATGATTTGCTAGAACAGAGCGCAGTTCGAAATACATGTGAAAACGCCAAAGATATGTGTTTAATCCGTAATCAAGCAGACATATGCCCCTAGACATCCAGACTTAAAACAAGCCACGTTTCCTATATCAACCACACATAAATACATGGGCGCCTCTCTAGCATGTCGGAGCGTGGATTTCTATTTACAAGAAAGTCAAAAATATAACTATGCATGATGAATAACATTAAGGAATGGACTTGCTCGAAAACTTATTTTTTGTTCAGTCAGTAGGAAAATGTAAGAAAGATGCAGCATCTGAACCATGTCTGGTAATGTGCAATTCTAGATGCATCATCAATGCAAGTTTGGTCACGATGGGGCTTATAGTTATATAAAAATGAGACCAGCTTCAAAATCTTTAACCTGCTCACTTATTAATGAAATGTAGGTCATATCCAGCATCTGAAGCAATATAGTAGTGTGCATCATAAAGCAAGTCTGGTCAACAAGTGCTTTCAGCTGCTCTGCTCCAAAAACTTAAACCTGCTTTTAAAACATTTACTTGGACATTCTTTGACTAAAAATCCAGCATCTGAAACCTGACTGGTGACAAGGAAACACGCTGGATCATGTGACTCTGATTAATATAGGGCATAGATATACTTGAAAAAAAAATCTGCTTCAAATACTTTTACCTGAAACACTGATGCCGACGGTATTACGAAAGCTCCCCCAACTTCAAGGAGGTGAGCTAAAAATGTGACGTTAACGTTATACGTTGGCGACAAAAAAAACTGTCGAAATGAAGATAGGATACGATAATGTTTTCTACTGTTAATATAATTGAGAATCTTCTTTGATTTAAAAAAAAATGCTACTTTTGGCCTAGTATTTTAACACAGAGTCAAATCAAGAAACCAGGAGCTTCTAATTTTAGATATGCAAATTTTATGCAATTTTCATTTTTTTGGATATGAAGTGCACACGTGACACTCATCATATTTCAAGAAATTAGTGTGCAGAGTATATCTAATTACTGAAAAAAATTAGGTGAGTGTCCCTCATGCACTTCATATTCTAAACATCGATTTTTAAATGCCACCCTCTTATATTTTCCCATAAGCCTAATGTTAACGGATCTGAGGGTACATCTAAGTATGTATCAGCTACGTTGTGAATTCATCTCATATTAACCTCTGAAATGTAAATAACAAAAGTTAATATATTTTTCTTGAATTCTTAACTAGTTTTGAAAAAATAAATTGAAATTTATTTTTATGAAAAAAAGTGGGCCGCTGAGCGACCTTATCGAAACTCCCCCTTTATATAATATACAGTATGCATAAGGGAGACCAAATGTATTATTACTGCATTAAGGAGACCAACTACTCTCCACATGTAAATCAGTATTCAAAACTTGAGATTTTAATACCCTAATAATTTACATGTTTAGTTACATGAACTAAATCTATTTACCTTTGTCATAACGCAAGAACTGTTTTACATTCAGCCAACTTTAACATTACACATGCATACAGTGTATGCCATGCATTAGGAAGACCAGATGCATTATTTCAACATTAAAGAAACCAACTACAATGGAACAATTAGACAGTATTCCAAAAAGTTCATTCCAATACCATAGTAATTTCCCTTAATTTGTTTGTATTTAGATGACTTAAATCAATTTATCTCAGCCAGAATTGGAACAAAAAAACTAATCATAAAAGTGGCCAAACACATGAACAGACAGATGGACATGATGATTCCTATGCTTATATACTCCCTAAGTTGCCAAAGTAGAGCAGATGCAGTCGTTAGAGCGTCTACTCTAGAGTTGCGGAGAAAGAAGCTGATCCTTACATCGCGAGTTTGAATCCCACTGTGGGACGTTGAGACCCGTTCTTCAGATGAGACAGAGGTATTAACCGAGGTCCCATGTCACAGTAGGTGCTGGCTCGATAAAGATCCCTCAATGCTCAATGGCCGTAAGTGCTGAGTATAGGACAAAAATTTGCAGCTCTCCACTGACAAGTGGTGGCGTCTCCATATGAGTGAAAAATTCTCAAGAGGGACGTTAAACAACAAACACTCTACACCCAAAACTTTGTTTGCAGAAGATTTTGTGATACATGCTTTACAAGTATACATATTGTTCATAAGGGAATAAAAATGCTATAATATATCATTAAGGAAAGCAACTGAAATTAAATGTGCACTTCTAATTGAACTAAACAAAATTACCCTTTGTCAGAATGTAGATTTATAAACAGGAAGGCTGTTTTTCTTCATTTTTCCATGTCAGATTCAGACTGTTCTTGAAAAAATTCTGGCATTCACCCTGTAAAAGTGAAGAGTGCAGATAATAAAGAGCTTCTAAATAAACTGCATTATATTTAAATGATCCACTTAAAAGGGATAACAAATGCATTTAACTCCATCAAGGAGACCAACTGATATCCATATATATATATAAATCAGTACATGTATTTTAATTGTGATATTTTAATATCTTAGTAATTTACATGTTTAGTTTCATGAAATAAATCTAGTTACCTTTGTCCAATGACCAATGAGCACAAGCACTGATTTTTCCTCTTTTTTTTTAACGGAATCACCAGGGCCAGTCTGCGGTCCATATGATTCTGGCATATGTACACTCTGTAAAATGCATATTTGTACCATGTACAGGCATATGAACAATATTTCTATACTACATACATGCATCATTAAACTTAATAATCTTTTTTTTCCAAAATTCATTATTCATAGTGTTTTGCTGTTAGCAAAATTCAACAAAAACTATACCGTATATATACTTGCCTATAAGGTGGTCCACCTATAAGTCAGTTGTATTTTTTGAGGTTATTTTGGAGGGATTTGCTATTGACCCGCTTATAAATTGGTACAACTTTTTGCCAGAATCAATTGACAATTTCAAATCAATGCTCTGATGTTTTAACCTGGTTTCAAAATACTAATCTTTTTATGACTCACCTATAAGCTGGACATAGAATATATACAGTACCTGCATTATACATGCATTAGGAAGACAAATGCATTATTGCAATATTAAAGAGACCATTGTGGCAAAAGAAATCAATGTATGAATTGTATTCAAAACTACGGGTGTACTAATTTGTCTGAAGTATATCATGATATAATGTGATACACAAAGACTTTAACAGGATATGTACATATACCCACATGCCTAAATGTAACAACAGGAATTATCGTTCTACAATAATTTATTGAAATTGCCAATATGAATAAACAAAAGCAAACTTTGTTTCGATTGTATGAACTTTAAGTTTTCTTTTTCCACTACGGTCAGATAATCTAACTATCCCCCCTGGTTGGCTACCGGGTCCTTCGTTAGACTGCCTTATCGGACATGATATTTACTGAAGATTTGATTTTTGGTACTGACTTTTATACTCAAAATAATGTCTTTAATTGTTTAATTTCTTGAGGTCATTATCACTTTGATGTGTTCAGTGTTTACTTTGATATGTAATGATGTGTATAAGCGTGTATTTTCGATAATTTAAATTTCTAGTACAGTAATCGTCCCTAAGCTGCTGTTTCATTATCGTGTCATAGTATCTCTGAGAGTGCAATTTATTAACACCTCCAAATCACCTGGCCTGCGTAATTAAATTTAACTACCAAAAACAACAGCTTAGGACTAATAAGGTGTGATTATCAGCAATGGTCCCATGAAGCCTGTGCTAGACCTAACGGAAACGTTCAACAGACCGTAAAATTAGCATAATGGGATTATTGTGTATTAAGGTGTGAATTCAGTGGAGTGAGAATTTGTTGGACTTCGAGATAACGCATGTGTTTATAGCACTTGGGACCGTAAATCTACTTCAAGATAAGCGAGGTATTCGAGATTTCCATGTTCGAGATACCGGGGTTTTTTAAAATCATAAATATAATAAAAACGGCTGGGACCGTTGATTCACTTCGAGATATCCGTGGTATTCGACATACCGGTGTTCGAGATACCGAAGTTTACCTGTATATCGATACGTATCTAGATTAATGAATATATCGTATCAAAAACAAGAGGCCCATGGGCCACAACGCTCACCTGAGCACATTGGCTAGGAAAAAGCACAAATCACTTCAGTATTGAAAAGTTTAAAGGGGAGGGGGCTTGGATTTTGAACTACCTGAGGATGCTTCCATATCAATATTACAAATGGCTTTACTGTTCTTGAGCAGAAGATTTTTAAAGATTTTTTTCCTATATATTCCCTTGTTAAAAATTTGATCCCCCATTGTGGACCCTCCCTAACCCCCCCCCCCCCCCCCCTCCATCATTTGAACAAACTTGAATCTACACTACCTGAGGATGCTTCCATATCAATATGACTAAACATGGCTTTTCTGTTGATGAAAAGATTTTTTCCTATATATTCCTAGGTAAAAATTTGATCCCACATTGTGGCCCCACCCTACCCCTGGGGTTTATGATTTGAACAAACTTGAATCTACACTACCTGAAGATGCTTCCATATCAGTATGACAAAACATGACTTTGCTGTTCTTGAGAAGAAGATTTTTGAAGTTTTTTCCTATGTATTCCTATGGAAAACTATGATCCCCCATTGTGGTCCCACCCTACCCCCAGGGGTAATGATTTGAACAAACTTGAATCTACACTACCTGAGGAAGCTTCCATATCAATATGACAAAACATGGCTTTGCTGTTCCTGAGAAGAAGATTTTTCAAGTTTTTTTTCCCTATATATTCTTATGTAAAACTATGATCCCCCATTGTGGCCCCACCCTACCCCCCAGGGGTCATGATTTGAAAAAAACTTGAATCTACACTACCTGAGGAAGCTTCCATATCAGTATGACAAAACATGACTTTGCTGTTCTTGAGAAGAAGATTTTTGAAGTTTTTGATCCTCAATTGTGGCACCACCCTAACCCTGGGGGTCATGATTTGAACAAAGTTAAATCTACACTATCTGAGAATGCTTCCATATCAATATGACTTAACAAGGCTTTGCTGTTCTTGAGAAGAAGATTTTTCAATTTTTTTTTCTGTATATTCCTATGTAAAACTTTGATCGCCCCTTGTGGCCCCATCCTACCCCAAGGGGTCATGATTTGAACAAACTTGAATCTACACTACCTGAGGATGATTCCATATCAATATGACTAATCGTGGCTTTGTTGTTCTTGAGAAGAAGATTTTTAAAGATTTATTCCTATATATTCCTATGTAAAACTTTGATCCCCCATTGTGGCTCCACCCTACCCCAGGGGGTCATGATTTGAACAAACTTGAATCTACACTATGTAATGAAGGTCTCACCTAAGTTTCAAATTTACAGCCCAGTGGTTCTTGAGAAGAAGATTTTTAAAAGATACCACTAAATTTTCACTAATTCTTAATTATCTCCCCTTGAAAGAGGGTGTGGCCCTTCATTTGAACAAACTTGAATCCCCTTTACCCAAGGATGCTTTTTGACAAGTTTGGTTGAAATTGGCCCAGTGGTTCTTGAGAAGAAGATGAAAATGTGAAAAGTTTACGACAACGACGACAGACAACGGACAAATTTTGATCAGAAAAGCTCACTTGAGCCTTTGGCTCAGGTGAGCTAAAAATAACTTAATTCCAATACATTTTGGGCAGGCAGTTTTTTTTATGTAATTCTGTGAAAAACTTGGGAATTTCAATCACCAAAGATTATATTTACCGGTAATTGTTTTGAATTAAAACTGATCAAAAATGATATAATCATTAAGGAGGTAGCACATCTTAAATGATTATTACAAAATCATAAAAATACATAGACAACTTTACTTAACATGTTGATTTTACAGTCAAGAAAAGTTTGAATTTGAAGTGTAATTTTTAAAGACGGTGAGACAAAAAATTAAAAATGAGAAAAAAACAATTATTATTTTTATAAAATTCATGCATAATGATTTATAAGACTTTTTTGATAGAATTGTTAAAGAATTCAATATATTGCATATCGCATTAAAAAATGTCTTTCTTTTTTTTTTTTTTTTTTGCTCAATACACAGCCCTAGCAAAAATGATATACAACAAGGACTTTGATTGGATTATTAACATTCATTCGATTGATCATAATTATTAACTGTTATTGCACTTTCATTTTCAAAATGTTGTTAGGTACATTGTTTGTTCACTCTTTTGCATTGATATTATAATTTTATAAAAGAGTATTTTAGCAGAAAAAATTATCAATTTACCTTTCTTGGAATAAAGACATGTTGACCCTTGAGCTGAGATTTTCTCTCTTTCCATAGATTTGTTACACTGGGGTCCACATGATACTAGCAGAGACCCTGTAAAAAAGGACTTAACTATGGAAAAGCATGAAGAATATATGCCTATTATACATATCTTAAATTCTAATGAAAACAATGTTTTTTAATTAAGATCCATATATTTCTAATGATTGACATAATACAAATTCAAAATAAAATATGCATGTCTATATTATACACTATACCTTAAGCAGACCAATTGCATTATTACATCCTTCAGGAGACCAACTTAAATCAATGTTTGAGAACTACTTGTGAGAACAATAAATTTGTCTACTTTACAGTACTAAATGTACATGGAATCTATAGGATCATGTTACTTTAATTGACCTGCCTTAGTTCAACACAGTAATTTAACAAAGAAATTGAGCCAAAACAAAATTTTAAGACTTTTTGAACAGTGCATGTTCCTATCATTTCAAAACCATTACCAGTAAAAATGCTAATATAGGAAAATGATGACAATTAATTAATATTGTACTTTCAGGTATATTAGATGAATTAATCTGATTCGTCAAGAAATATTTGTTAAAAAGCACTATTATCCGCTGAATAATGAAGCCACGCCCAGTGTCACAACAGTCAACATTGCTTGACGACGGGTGATATTCCAAAAAATAGTGATTGCACAGATTTATGCGCTCAAGGTTCACTATTATTTGTATTTGTATAAAACATTCAGTATAATATAATAAATATTGCATGTAGTTGAGTGTAATATTGAAAATTTTCACCCCTCGAAAACCAAATACGTCAAAAAGGGGATGGGTTTCTCCAACTTCGATCTACATAGTTTCGCCCCTGCAAAAACTGGTATAGACCTTGGATATGTTTAAACGGGCTAAGAGAAATCAAATGCATCAAGAATACTTAATTGTTTTTACCCAAGTTACATGCCAAAAAAGATTCAGAGAGACGTCACATAAAGTTAACGTTGATTTGAACTGAAGTTAGGGTGTCAAAAGTCATTCACATCCAAAAGTGACATTGATCATGTGTGGTAGATAATAAACTCCTACGGGCTAAATATGCTGCCATAATCAAGTGAGGATCTTTCCCTAATCCTATATATAAATCCATTTAGTACAATATTATATGCACTTAAGCAGCTGTTTATGACATTGTAAAATTATATAAACAAGACCGGTTTATATAATTTATATCAATTTATATAATTAATAATATAATTTATGTAATTTTATCAAGATAAGTGTATGGGGTAGAGGGAGCAGACATTGAGAATCAATGTTGTCGGACCTCATGAAACTAAACTAACAGTCTTCCAAATAACCCGGGAGTCCAATGCCAGGGACCTGTTAAATTTGCAGCCGGGCTTGTAAAAATTGCCAAATTACATGTCCGAAGAGGGCATATGTGAATCTTCTTTCATTGTACGATCTTTACTTGCCATTTACTCTGTCCTACCCCCATTATTCGCTTAAACGTTGCTATATGTAATGTCGATGGATTGCCTGTCTACATTCTCGATACGACCTGTCAAATGATTGTCAATCTAATCATTGAAGTGTTTAGTTTAACCTATTTGTTTTCTCGAAGTTGCTTGCTAAATTACGTGATGTTCATCCATGCCACATACTGTGGCACTACAGTCATGATCCCATTTCTGAAATTCAGTTCAGCTAAACCGGCCAACAAATGACCAGCATGCAACTCAAAAGTTATTTATGAACAAAAACGCTTTAGAAAATGGCAATCACAGGCCATGGTTGGTTTACGACGCTGAAAAAATTAATATAAAACCTTTATATACCTAATGGGTTTTTTTTGTTGCACAATACTGGTAAATGTAAGAATTTTGAGTAGGACATGTACAAATTTGAATGGGCTGGGTAAAAATGATAGGTCTACATGCCCGAAGGGCATGTGCTGAAAAAGAATTGTTGTGAAGACTGAACTAAAGCGACAGCGCCGGGTGATCATATAAAGTCCCCTTTATTACATAATAATTTGGCAAATTATCAACACATCAAGCTAAAATTTCCAACATATCTTAACAGTGAGAATTTTTATTTTTTAAGTTGAAACCTCGTGACCTGTGAAAAAAATGAAATTTGTATCCCATCTAAAGTCTTAAAATGTATCAAGGTAATTTTCGATACAAAAATGCGGTTGGGGTTATAAATGAAGGATAAAACCAGAGACCTCGGAATGGAATACTCTGAAGTCTCTGGTTTTATTCTACCCCCAACTGGAAGTTGTATCCAATCTAAAGTCTTAAAATGTATCGAGGTAATTTTCGTGGCATAAATGAGTGCTTTACAATAAAGAGACTCGACCAGAGATGTCTGAAACGATTTATTTGACAAGAAAAAAGTCTCTTGAAGCGAACGATGTCATTTTAAAGTAGGTTAATGATTGATAATGATACATGAACAAAATACGAGCTTGAAGCGGGGGTGCCTGAAATTGAGTTAGATACCTTGTGGTAAAAATAAGTAGGGGTGCACCGTATATGAAACAAGTGCCTGTGATTGATAGTCTGAAATTTCTCTTCACCTAAATATTAAGAGCTTGCAGTGATCGCTATAAATCTATACAACAGTCAAGTTACATATGGTAAACTAACATAAAAACAAGATTACAACAGTCATGATTACAGAAGGTATATTTTGAAGACTCTAGGTCAGTAGGTGAATGTAAACAGGTAAACACACGTGGGACAGTCACCGCAAATATGAACCACAAAACGACTTATAACATTAAAATGTAAATATTCATCTGCACACAGATTTTTGCATAATAATAATAATTTTTAAAAGTGTAAATTAAAATATGAAATAAACAAACCTCAAACCTTGTAACAAGGCTTGTTTCCCTACAATCTTATTCTGGTTCTCTGTGGTTCACTGAAAATGCAGGGGACCAGGCTGCGTTATTAACTCGTACACAGATTTGTTGATACGAATAAACCTATAAACATATATACGAAATAAAATATTATCATAAAAAATGAAGAATTTCAAATTGCTTGAAAAATTATCTTTATGTAGTTTATAATAAATGGTTGTAATTGTTTATTAATTTCTATCTATCCATTAAAATTTTATACGTATATCAGCTTAATATGTATCCGTCTGAAAAATTATTGTTATTACACTCCCTGTCACATCTTCATAGTTAAGCCTGTAAGCATGGTAAGTAAGAATCAATTTCAGTTGAAGGGGACCAAAACCAAACATTTTTCAGTTTCATTTGGTGGGGAGGGGGGGGGGATATAAACCTCAAATGATTATTTTATCTCTGTCACTGAACTGCTGAAAATAATGAAGGGAACTAGGCTGCGACAATGATTTGTTGACAGAATTAAAATACGAAATAAATTATCATACATACGAAATAAAATAATTTCATGAAAAAATGAAGAATTTCCAATTGCGTAAAAAAAGAAGCTTTTCATGTATGTGATTTACAATAAATGTTTGTACTTTTATATTTTCTATATATCCATTAAAATTTCACAGTATCAGTATTTCACTATTTGTAAACATTAACAATAATATTAAATAAATGTTACACTCACTGTGGCTTTGACTGAGTTACTGTCACATCTTCATAATTAAACGAGAATATTCCCTTCCGTAAATATTGCTATATATATCTGAACTGTTACCAGTTCATCTTTCTTTGGTGAAAGAAAACCTCAGGGATGGAGAATAGGCCCGTACGTAATTTAGTTGGAGGGGGGGGGGGGGGGTGAGCACAACCAAACAACATTTTTCAGTTTCAGGTTGGGGGAGGCTACAAACCAAAAAAAATTTTAATAAGCAAAAGAAAAATACATTATCAGAGGTTATTATTGAGGGGGCCCAAAAGCAAAAGAAAAATAGATCATCAGAGGTTATTATTGAGGGGGCCCAAGCATAAAGGAGCAATGTTTTCTATAGTATACCTAAATTTCAGCAAAATTACAGGGGGCCTGCCCCCCCCCCTTCCTTCAGCCATGTATTGTATCAAATCTGCTTCACCCTGATTCAGATTTTTTTTTACAGCATATATATTCTATTAGCAGAGGACCACATTATATTAATAAACAATTATTAAATTACAGCTATTTTTTTCTTACAGGGTCTGTTTCATTTATACTATATCATGATGAACATGTCCTGCATGATGTTTACAGAAAGTTTAATTTAAATTTTTAAGCTCGAAATAGCTGCGTCAACTTGCGAGACTATTTTTTCAACGTTCGGCCTAATCTTTAAATATTTAATTTGTTTGTGGACTTGCATAAAAGAATTAAAAAAAATATAGGGGCCTATCATTTAACTTTATTTCGAATTTCCTTCAGGATTTTATATACCGAACTATAGTCTAACGATTATTTAAAATCATACTTTTTCTCTTGAAAGCTAAATTACTAGGCAAAAAAAAAAAAAAACAACAAAAAACCCAAACGAATGTTTGTCTTGTGTATTCTTAATTACAACTTATTACTGTATCATTTTAGTTACTTACCCAAATTTCTCAACATCCATGGTGTTCAGAGGTCATTTTCTGAAAACTGAAGGGGCATTCCGATGGCATTCGGAACAAATGACGGAAAGCACTTGCTAAGAATTCAAAACATGGTTCATAAATTTACAATATTTTTCCTTTTTAGGTTTTTAACATAAAACATGGAAAACTAAGTTAAAGAAACACTCATTTGAACAAATCAAAAGCGGAAAAAATATATATGCTAGATTTTTTGTTTAATTGCATGTTTTTCATGGTCTCCAAAATGCAGAAAAATTATCCTTTGAAATTATACGTAGGTTATAAATTCTTTTCTTTTTTAGGGAAGATGATAGAAATTAGACAACTTTTGAATGTTAAATAACAGAGTTAAAGATTAATAATATTTAATGGCAGACTGTTTATTTATCTATAAAAAGACATTTGCAATACTGATGAGGTCAAAATAATAGGGAGACCGAAAAAGGTCGCCTTAATCCAGTGGTCTCCCTAAGCCAGAAAATATATCCTCCTTGGTCTCCTAAAGCCATATGTCATATATATATATATATATATATATATATATATATATATATATATATATATATATATATATATATATGTATGTATGTATGTATGTATGTATATGTATGTATGTATGTACATGAGGATTGGGTAATTTCCATAAGGCAGCATAAACTTTGTAGTTATCTGGAGCAATATTTGTTCATTGTTTTTCTCAGATGCACGAACACTTTCTTACGGGAATGGATTGATTATAGTGGTAACCAGCTACTTTTGAATGTAAAAATAGTAGCTACCTTTTAAAGACATATACATGTATTTATATAAATACTCTTTTAATAACCCTCAAAGAAAATATTGAATTCGAATGATTTTAAAGATTCAAAAAACATTTTTACGAATGTAATACTAAAACAAAGTCAAACTCTCATAAAACCATGACGCAGAGGGCCTCTCCTAGAAACAGTTCAATGAAAAGGTTTTGTTTGCAATATTCAGAGCTTAGGTCACTAAACTATACTGATAAGGAAATGATCTAGAGATCACAGATAGAATACATTTGTACGTGGTTGGCACATCCTTACGCAATGTGGATCTTCGTATTATCGCTAATTTTGGTTACCACAGTCTGTAAGTGCTTCAATTTTTTTAGCTAGTCAATTTAATCATATTTTAGCCCGCCCGGACACAAATTTTCACAAGCCATCAAACCGAAGAGTTGTATATAATGAGAGTAAAGTTATATTTAAAGAATTTCATGTAATAAATTAACAGTATAAATATTCACAGCTGAGATTGTAAAGATATTTACTGCACAAAGTTTTAAATTCGAAATATTTTCAAGAAATTGCCTCGTATTCAATTCCAGTCTTGAACCATTATGATAGCCCCATGCAATATATGTATAGGCTTTGATATAAATTAGCCAAAGCAAGTCAGCTTACTATGACAAATATCTGTTGGATATTTTTTGTCACAGACCTTTTCTTAGTAATTGTTATATATACAGATCGAAAAGGACACTTTTTCTGCAAGTCTTGATGGTATGGATGATGAAAGAGTGGCGCAATTATATTTACAAAGATGCCTTTAAAATATCATTAAAAATGAACCAATATTTGTCCAAACAAATGTTGAAAAACAAAAAGCCACTTAAATCTTTAAAATTATCAGATTAACAATTCTAAGATAGTGAAACACACATAAAAAACAACCAATCTCATTATCCTGTATCTTCCCATTTTCATAATATATTTTTTTAATTGAAAACAAAATCAAAACTACACGCACGAAAAATAGCATTTTTAATTTTTTTTTTTTTACAGATTGTGATGAGCTACAGTATTGCCCCCCAAATCTTCAGCGATCAACACATCTGAAGACATACAATGGTCATTGTTACGAGTTCATGATCCACCGACATGTAGAGTGGAATGTAGCAGAAAATGACTGCAGTTCCAAAGGAGGAACTCTGGCTGTTGTCAATAATATTGAGGAACAATTTTTCATCATGTCTGCATTAAGATCTTTTCCATTCCATGGTCAGGGGGTTTGGATAGGATTAAGTGACACTCAGCAGGAAGGGAAATTCACTTGGATTAATGGTAGATAGCTTTTAAACACATCAGTATTTAACTGTCGTATTTGATTGTAGACATAATTTAGAAAGGATTATGATCAATATCATGAAATATTAGTCATACTTTTTCAAATGGTTCCAAAATTGAAAACATCCATTTGCCCCTCTTCCCTGAGAGACGCGAACAAATGCAGATCATATAGGACAATGTACATATTAAAGCAATATTGATCAATTTGCAGGAGAGGCGTCATCCTTCACATACTGGGCACCAGGGCAGCCCGGAGTGGTGGATTTACCCAGTATCGGTGGTAGAAAACGTCTGATTTTGGACACTTTAACAGGAGGAGGCCTTCATCTTCCACATCTGATAGACGAAGATTGCGTCCTGCTCAAGTACTCGGACTCTGGTCACTGGCATGACTATCCCTGTGTTAAATTGGATCCTCTAGGTCTTGTGCATGAGAATTATCCATATGTTTGTGAATACAGTAGGTTGATATTTGTTCATTCGGAAGATTTTTAAAAAGTCATTCTATTTTTACATTTTACAACCAATAACATTGGGATCTACATGTATTTGAATTCTTGATTTTGCTATAATTATGTCGTATATATGTACACGTACATGTACTTTTCATAATACTTTACCACTGACAGACCAAACGCCCGTTCCGACAAGCACCACACTAGGAACACCCATGAGGCCATCAACGCCGAGTACCACCACATTAGGTGGGCCTATTTCTGTCACGACTCCAGAACCTGACATAGCCGGCACCACCACATCAGGCGCTATCGTTGGCTCAGTGGGAGAGCTCGTAATAGGCTAAAAAGGATGTTAAATTGTGATATGCATGTATTTAATAAAATTATGTATTAATCATTTTTATTTTATTATGAAGGGATGCTGTGAATTCAATATTTAAAAAGAGAAATCCATGCACTAACAAAAGCAAGCTATATTCAGAGAGAAAGATCCCTTTAATTGCTTTGTATTCTGGTAGAGTCGAGATATCAAGATAATGGCTTATTACGAAAGTGGGTGGATATCCTTATAAATAGTGAATTTCTTTGTGCTTTCTCTCTCTCCTCTTTCTCTGTCTCGATCATGGAGATGCTATAGAATACAAACTGTCTAAACATTTTCTTTATGTATATTATAACACATTTTTTTCTTTTGCTCTATGTTTACCAATACGAGTTCCACTAAATTTTTGGACTTTCCAAGAAAAATAGATTGAAAAATGTTGATACTCCAGAATAAACATACAGAAGGAACGTACAATTATGCAATTTAAATTATTTAATCATCCAGTATCATATCTGTCATTATAAAGCCCAAAGAATTTGCGAAAGGCTATCTTGAAAACCCCGTAACACCAACTTATTTATCTGTAGTCTATTCAGTTTAACAATTCATCTTACTCGTGCAGTTGCAGAAGATGCTCTTGGGTATCGACTCAGTTGGGAAACATAGAATTAATTCCATATGCAGATGATAGTGGAATATTAAAGAGGGAAGCTGACAATAGAAAAGCTGAAGTCATCCAATTTATCACATAGTTTACCATATCATATTTTTTTTTGTAAAATACATGTATATCAATGAAAAGATGTAGTAATCTTCACACATTTAATGATAAACTTGATAACTTTAACTTTTCTATCGTCAACTTCCCTTACCTATGTAGCAATATACCCTTGCCACCTGCATATGGGATTTATGTTTCCCAGTTGATTTGATACGCAAAAGCATACTCTACATACGAACAATTTCTAAAACGAGGCAAGCTATTGACAAACAAGTTAATGAAACAAGAATATCAATAGTCTCGTTTAAAGTCATCATTTCGCAAGTTCTCTGTTCGATACAATAACCTTGTTAGTAAATACAGCCTATCATTTAGTATTCCTAAAGATTATATAGAGCAGTAACCACAATTCGTGAAAATTTTGTATCGCTAATAAAGAGTAAATGTCTATCTCGAGAAAATAAGGTGTCGCGAAAATTTACTGATCTACTGTAGTATGCTGACGGTCTTTTTCATACTAATTGTTAGACCTTTTTTTCACAATGAATTGTCTTCGGATTTTTCTGTTTTCCCGGTCATGACAAGGAGCACAAGGCGGGTGTGATCAATCGACAGTGGATGCTTACTCCTCCATGGCACCTGATCCCACCTCTGATGATATTAGATGTCCTTGTTTGCTCTGCTTTCAATCTGTATTGTTTCATGCAATGGACTTTTGACATTGATTACCTAATAACACTGTTCGTTATCTTCATAATTCACACTCATATATACAGTACATGCATGGAACAACTTGCACTCAAAATGCGCAATATGCATGTTCTTTACCTTTTAGATAAGAAATGAATCTTTAGTACTTTCTGCACGATGCTGTACCTGTACGTGCTGTCATTAGCGACCGCCGTTTGTAAGTTGTTGTTTTTTTATTTCATAACCAAACAATATAGATGCTAAATGACGAGACTTTTTCGTTGGTAATCTTTTATCTATTAAAACACTGATAAATACAGATGGCGAAGTTACTCAGAATTGTACTTCACAATCAAAAAATGGCGCCACGTTGAAAGTCTACAGTACACATTGCTATGAGTTTCAACTTCGTCACAAAGTGGACTGGAAAGCAGCCGAGGGTGACTGCAGCTCTAGAGGAGGGACTCTAGTGGTCATCAACGACGCAGAGGAACAAAATTTCCTCATGTCCTCACTCAAGGCACTCTCATTTCATGGAAGTGGTGTGTGGATTGGATTATCCGACACAAACCATGAGGGAACATTCACATGGGTTACAGGTGTTTTATTACATGTATTAAAATTTGGTTGAATTAAAGTATACTAGTAATTAAAAGTCCCAAACGGCGATAACACTCATGCGTTACTTAATGTGGTCCTGCTGTTCTTAGAAAATCTTAGCAAATTTTTCTCTATCTGCATGTTTCTATAATGAAAAAAATGACCACATACTGTGGCTCCACTCTAGCGCCAAAAGGTCATGATTTGACCAAACTTAATTGAACTCTTACTAAACTCCGGGATTATGAAAATCTTAATCTTAACGTTTCCTTGCAGTTCTGGGGAAGATTATTTTTTCCAAAGAATATTATTTTTCTACATGTACATGCATAGTCTGAAATATCTGACGTTTTCCTGGCTTTTTTAACGATCTGATATTTTACTAGGAAAACGTCAGAACCGGCACCATTACGAAAATTGGGAATTCGCCGCCTCCAACCGGAGGCGGCATTCTCGGGTTGATTTTCGATACTCGCGAACCGAATTAAATGTCAAACTCACAACTTATCTATTGAACAATACTTTAAGTACTCACCATCATCGTTTTTATGGTTCGTTTATAAATATACAATCCGATGAAAACATTTTATCTGACTGTCGAGATTTGTTTTCATTTCGTGCATTTTCAAATTTTGCAAGTCCCGTATCGAAATGAGGAGTGATGTTTTCTTTTCATCGATATTTGTGAGTACTAGAAGCATTGTGCTATTGATAAATTGTGAGTTCGGCATTTAATTCGGTTTGCAAGTATCGAAAATTTCCAGTTTTTCTAACGTTTTCCTAGCACGTAAAATATCAAATCGTTAAAAAAGCCAGGAAAACGTCAGATATTTCTGACTAGTGCATTATGGTTAATTTGACTCTTAATTTAATCCCCGAGGAACGCGGGGGGGGGGGGAGGGGAGGGGGCTTTTTTCTGAGTATAGTGTTTTGCTATAGTAAGTTTCCTTTAGATGCTGGTTCTGTCCACAAGCACCCGTGGAATAAATTAACTTCCTTCAATTTTGCCAAGTTTGCTTAAAATTTGCCCACTGGTCCTTGACAATAAGTAAAATGTAATGTTATCAGACAGTCAGAAAAATTCGATCAGACATGTTCACTGGAAACTAAATTAGGTACTATAATGTATTTGACCGAAAAATTAACAGGATACTGTAGTATTTCGATAATATTGTTCCCGGTGGATTCTAGTCAGCAATGTAATATAAAGAACGAGGGCGCTTTTGATTGGCATTCGGCAGGAATCTGGGCGCAATTGAAAAGTGAAAATTTTATTGATCTGTCACATGAAATTTTAGCATTCTTTTGATGTATCGGGTTCCTGTGAAATAGGAAAGGGAGATATTTTCCCGATATTGTATTTTGATTTGCTAAAAAAGAACTTGAAAATTGGCTAGATGAGTCATTTCGTACAAAATGTTACATTTTTAAACACGTTTTTCTAAAAATTTGCTATCTCTGGGTCATCTCTCCATGGTTTTGAAACGTTATATTTGTATGCATTCTTATTCAAAGAAACTAACAAACATTTTTAAAAAAATGGAGAGGAGACCCAGAGATGATAAAAAATGAACTTTTTCCAAAAAAATTCCAATGTGTAAATGCGGTGCTTCATTGTCGCTTTAAAAACCATTTTGTATATGTAGCGGTGATAGCTCAGTAGTATGCGGTACCCGTCCAGTGCAATGAAAGAGATATATTTTTGGTTCGATCCTCGCATGGAGCGTTATTATTTTTTTTTTTAGTACAAACAATCAATTCTTTTGTCAGTTTAATTTTATGTACTGATTTATTTTCAAATAGATAAATTCTGCTTCTGTTGCACCGAAAGCGAAAGCAATTCTTCCAACCTACTGATACTTTAATATACCCATGTACTTGTAATTGCATTTAACTATGCCCTATAGGTGTTTATTATTTATGTAAGTTTAACATGTAGTAATTATTAAGATAAGCGGACTGAAATGTTAAATTTGACAAAGTATTTCAAACTAAATGTAACTTTCCCATAATTTTCCCATACGTGTAACTTTGTAAAGTACATGTACATGAGTGTCCAGCTGTGGTCAGCCGACCAAATCGTAGACATTTAAACTAAAAATGTTTCGTACACCTTATTCCTGCAGATCACACGCCAAACACGCCCATCTTCTTTAAAAAAAACAAAAAAACATTGTTGCTTGTTACTGTCATTTTGCAGGAGAAAATAGCTCCTTTACGTTCTGGGCACCAGGACAACCCCACTTGTCACATGCAGGCAAAAGATTTATCCTTGACGGTTTAGTAGACGAGGACTGTGTTCTCATGAAATACTCCGAATCAGGCCACTGGCATGACTACCCCTGTCAGAAGTTAGACCCATTCGGACTTGTGCGGGAACATTATCCCTACATCTGCGAGTACGGTACGTTTATTTTCAGTTTCGAAGATATCACTTTCGTAATGAAATTCTAATCCTAAAGCATTAAATTTGAAATCGAAAATTTAAGAGATACATTTTCATTTTGAAGATACTGGAACAACTTCAGCTCCGTCTGTAGCTCCGACTATGGCGCCATCTACAATGAGTACCACTTCAGCTGCCCTACCAGCAAGTCCTCGTGTTCCATCGCAGTGACATTGATATGATGCTTTACAAATTATATTTTAAGATTAAAGCGGAAATGAATGTTTTGAATAAATCTTTCAGAGACCTATACGTATTAGAAATACATGAGGCTTATACAGCTACAATTGCAATACGAAGAGAATTTATTGTAAAGAACTGCGAAGGCTAACTCTCGATTCAGGCCTATATTTTTGACACACACATAATTCAAAATGTGTTGCAAATTTGCGGTTAAGGTCAAGATCTAGTAAATGAAAGGTGCATACAGATTTCTCAAATTTGAGAAATAAATTCCTTTAATGATGCTTTATAATTTTAGCTTGGTCAAAGAAGTTGTTTCGGGGCATAATTTGTAGGTAAATAAGACGAAAAATCATTTTTTAAACTATCATTTTCAATGAAAAATTAAGAAAACCTGTCATGAATATGGGAGTTTTTTCCAAATCAGACAAATGAAATGTATCCAGATTGCCTACAGTCTCTCAGAAAACGGTAATTTGTATGTTCTTGGCCTCTTCTTTAAAATAATATTAAATTGAATATAGGTATCGGGATTACTTTTCACATGATTTCATATTGGATTCCATGAAAATACTTCATTTTCTACATAATTTTATTAGAGCCGTAAAGTAAAAAGAAAGTTGAAAATGATTATGACGTCATAATGGATCTAGCACCAAAAAGTTAGTCTAAAGTCATTTACTAGATCTTGACCTTAAAGTTGTTTTTTTTTAATGCAAAGCAGATTTTATTAGTAATTGACGAGTAACTCCCAGCGTCAAAACATTAATTGCTCTCATGGCAACTCTTTTTAGATAAGAGGATGTAAAATTGAAGACGTATTGGATTTTAAAATACTCATGGATAGGAATAATTGTCCTCAGATCTTTTAGTCTGTTTAATTTATATAACTATATCCGATTTATTTCGAAAAATGTTTGTTTATTGTTTAACGTCCCTCTCGAGAATTTTTCACTCATATGGAGACGCCACCACTTGCCGGTGGAGAGCTGCAAATTTCGACCTATACTCGGCACTCAGGGCCATTGAGCAGTGAAGGATCTTTTTCGTGCCAGACCTACTGCGACACGGGACCTCAGTTTATACGGTCTCATCCGAAGGACCGGTCTCCACGTCCCACAGTGGGATTCGAACCCGCGGCGTAAAGAACAACTCCTTACTCCGCGACTCCAGAGCGAAAGCTAGTTCGCTCTAACCACTGCGCCACGCGGGCGACTCGAAAAAATGTAATTGTTTATCATAATTATTTTCGGTTTATTTTAGTCTATAAACATTTGTCCCCGAGAAAACAACAAAAGTTTTGGTATGAATTGTTAAATAACAATTGTAACGCCTGTCCTTTGGTCAATAATTTAAATTTTATGAAAAATGACATAAATATCTACATAATTTCAGAAAATAAATGTTGCAACATGAATTAAGAATTGACCTGATGGTAGGCAGCGAAACAATACTATCGTTCACAATCCTTTCGTTGTCCAGATGTGCTGTTCCACATCAGCCATTCAAACACTATAGTATTTTTTGCCATCCGATGAAATTCAGTTTTGATGCACATGTTGGGATAGTGCTGTATATGACCTTGGTCCTGGTTACCGTAACCTGCAGATAAGAAATAATATATATACGTGTAATTACACTTTGAACAGGAGAGTTCATTGTCTCATTTCCAAGATGGAACTAGTGCTTTTGTTGTCTTGCCTGATGGTGACCCTTGTCTGTAAGTGTCTGATGATAGACATATAATTATAGCATGATGTAATTTATGGTTGAATGGTTTTGGTTGAATGTGCTAAAATTCCTTACAAGATTCGATAAGAGGAGATAAAAGAGAACAAAAAATAATGTATCTCATGTGGAATCTTTTAATTGTAAGGCGGTGATGATATTTCAAACTGCCCCACAAATCTCCACCAAGGCACCACTCTGAAGGCCTACCAAGGTCATTGTTACGAATTCAAGATTCACCGAGCCATCGACTTTCACCAAGCAGAGAGTGACTGCAAATCAAGAGGGGGTCATGTGGTTGCCGTCAACAGTATGGACGAACAGAACTTCATTATGTCCACATTAAAGTCCTTTCCATTTCATGGCCATGGTGTGTGGATAGGGTTTACTGATGGTCAAGTAGAGGGGAAGTGGACATGGACCACAGGTATAAAAATGATCACATTTTTAGGTGAAATTTTTACATGAAGCTGCCAACAAGTTTATAATTCTTTTTTTAAACAAACAGAAAAGTACAAAGAGACAAACAAAATCAAATAACATGAGACGATAATCATTTTACGGGCCATAGTCTGCAATGTGTATATTTTTTTTCTTCATACATAATATAAGTTAATCATGAGGCATGACCTTAATAAAATTAATATTAGAGTGAGTCGTTTACAACATTAATCCGTTGTCTATGATTCAATAATCATATACAATCTTTCTTCATTTGTCTACTAATATTCCTACGTCACCTGCATATTATATATCTCCCAATTGATTCGATACCTAAGCGCATGCTATGAGTACAATCAATATTTAAAGGGGTGTACTCTACTGACAAATAAGCTGATGTTTCAAGGATTTCAGCGACCTCGTTAAACGTCAGCTATTCGCAAATTCTCCGGTCGTTATAATATTATAATAATAAACTTGTTTGTTAATACAACCTGGGGTTGGGTCGTATTTTGTCTGACATGTTTGAAACCATTTGTTAGGTCATTGCTTTATACTAAAGGAGATGGGCGAACAAGGCGTGAAGAATGCATTTTGCTTCAGATATATATATATATATATATATATATATATCTATATCTATATCTATATCTAAAATCAATTAATCATATATATAATCATATTTTATAATCATATTTAATTTGTCAATTAAGTATTGAGATTAAAATTCGCATTATTGAATTATGAAAAACATTTCTCTGCAAAAATTATTCTATTATTTAAAAAAAATTGTATGGTATTCTTGAGGATCGAACCCTAGAAATAAAAATCCTGGGGCCTGTTTTACAAAAGAACTTACGACTTAGATCAAAAACTTTAGCTGACTGTAAATTCTTGAAAAATTCATGAATCTGTTAAAATGTTGAATCTGTTAAAAATTGTTTCTATAAATATCTCATTCAAATTCTTTTTAAAGAGATTAGAATTTCAAAAAAAGTATGATAAAATGTTATCCACAAAATTACAGATTGGTCTAAGTTCTTTTGTACAAAAGTCCTGGTGAATAGTAGCATTTAGTCATGTTTGTCAGGGGTGTGCAATTAGCATCGCCCGACGCCCGGGGCTACTATTTTTGGGGGTCGGGCTAGTAGTTTTCTGCACGGAGGTAGCCCCTTGGGCCAGTAAAAATTAAAACTACCAGTGTAATACATGTATTTTCTCTCATTTTTGGCTATAAAATTCTTAAGCAATGAAAATTTTTCGGCAGCATGCGCCTATTATTCGTAAATCTACATAATATTATCCATTTTGCAGTACTACCTGACTTATTTACTTCCAAAAACGATCGTTTTTATCTAATTCGAATTTCCTCTATTCCTCTGTTTATGGTAAATACGCATGCAGATATCTCATTAAATTATTTACGATCACTCAATCAATTGAAAGATAAGTGTTATGTGGTTTACATAACATATACTCCAGCGTATTTAATGATTTAAGCTGAAAAAAAATGATTGTCATTTCATTTTAGATAGGATAATTTATTTTAATTCATTTTTATTTTCTATCATAATTATTAATTTATACATGATTTAATTTTACTAGTGAGAATTATAAAGAATCACATTAAAACCCTAGCTGACTTTTTCAACAATAACTTATTTTCTTTTAATATTAGAACTTTGTTACCCCCCCCCCTTTCCCCTACATTTGGACTAGTAACTTTTTACTTGGGGCTAGTAACATTATTTCTGCCACTAGCCCGTGGGCTAGTGCTGAATTTTTTTAATTGCACACCCCTGTTTGTGATATGACCATTGACTAAATGGACTTCAAGATACGAATGTTGAGTAATAAAAGTGTATTTTTAAGGTATAGTGGGTCATTGCTCCATGTTTTTAATTGTTAATCAAAAATGTATATTTTTAAGCAAATGTTGAGAATAAATTTTAAGAAGAAATGGAGCATTCATATGGGAAAATTGTGTTATAATATGAAAACATGATTATTTTTGTCCTCTTTGGTGTGTTAATGCTATTTCATGGGCAAATAATTTTAATCTTGGTGAGATTTTTCCATATTGGGGAGATTTTACGTATTTAAAGTATACTTTAATGTTAGATGAACTATCAGAGAAAATTTTGTTATGACTAAGATTCAATTATGACGCACTATAGGCATTTCGTTCTCTTTGTTCGCATAACTTCTTTGACTTTGAAACTATAACTCTTGCTGCATTAATTTTGTCTGGAACTAGTTGTTGTAGACGTGCATGAATGTTTTGGAGCTGCAAATAATATACTTGTACAATTTTCACATGAAATGATTTGGTTTTAAGCCTGTGTGCAGGTGTATCATAATTTAAACTACAATCAAAGATGGCGGCACTTCAATGGATGCATACTGTCAATAACGTATACTAGTATACATATGTATAGGGTTCTGCATCTGGTCATTTTTTTCACGATAAGTGTTCAGCTCTATAATTCTTTTTTAGAAGGTACATTCCTCTTGCATAGAATGGAGACTACATTTATATACTCTTACATTAGTCGGGTGGTTCCAAAAATAAGATTTATAAGTGACCCCACCATAGAATTATACAGCGGAATGTTGTTATCATCATCACTCCCGACAGTAAACTCTAGAAATCATTTGCTAAAAATTAAGATGAAATTTATGTGACAGGGGAGACAAGCACGTTTACCCACTGGAGGCCCGGGGAGCCAGACGGACGGAAGCGCTTCCTGTTGGATGCCGAGGAAGACTGTGCCATCATATTGTACTCTGACGCCTCAGGTCACTGGGACGACATACCCTGTGTAAAGCAGGACCCACTGGGGCTTGTTCATCAACATTATCCATATGTCTGCGAATACTGTGAGTATCTTACTTACAACTGGATTCAGTTTCCAATATCTCCAGGAATACCTGGTAGTAAATATGTATAAACATAGTTAAAATGGAATTTTCAGTGAAAAGTTACAATTATAATGGGTGTTAATTCTCCAGTTTCTGACAATTTAAGAGAACAGAAAGGATACAATCAAAATAGTTGTTATTGCGGGTCAAGGCTACAAATTGAGACAATTAAGTACATTAAGCTGGGTACCATTCTGAAAGCCGCTTTGCCTTATCTTTAAAGTACATGTATATCTCTTTTTCTCAGAAGAAAATTTATGTGCAAATAAGTCCACCCTCATATACCATCTTAATGTGTGACAAAAAATTGGTTACACGGTGCAGTATCAATTCTAAAGTGAAATTTACTTACTTATGACTCGTAAATTTCGAAGTAAGAATAAAATCATACACTGTATATCAGAAACATTTTTTCCCCTTTTTGCATGATATCTCATAGTAAGGGTTGCTTAAATAAAATTGCTCTAATCTCATTTTCCTGAAGTATGTGGGCAAACATTTTACTATGAAGAGTTGTTTTAATGGTAATGAGTCATGGAAGATAACAAAGTTTTTTTTAAATCAGTCATTACTAATGACTAATTAACAAAAAACTTTGTTATCTTCCATTTTTGTTTGAAATATTTATGTTTAATAAAAATTTTTTTCAATCTCCACAGTGCAAGGAATAGCTACAGCCAACACCAATACGAGCCCTCCGCCTACCACAGCAGTCTGAAGTCAAAAATTAAATACGACATACTTCCATCAACCTATCTTTCTCAAAGAATTTGTATTATTCATACATGTATGAAATACATGTACATACGACGTCTATCCTAAACTATTCGAGAAATGAATTTTGATTGAGTCGTAATCTCTGGTATTTTAGGTTACTTAGTAATTATGTTCCCCAAACGAAGTTGGGGAACATATTGTTTTTACTCTGTTTCTTATTATTATTTTTTTTCTTCTTCTTCTTCTTCCTGGGTACTTTTTTGTCCGCGAGTGATCTCGTCAACTACTCATCCGATTGAGGTGAAACCTTTTTAGGGTTAATAGGCATGTTATGTAGATTTGCGGAATCAAGGTCATTTTGAGCGCACGTGCATGCACGTGCGTGCGCGTGCAATGCGTAAAATGACCAATATACTTGATATAGCTGTAACTTTTATATTTTTTGATGAAATGCTTTGATACTCAGAATATAAGGATATATTAAAAGTGTAAACAAGATGACATGGTCAACATGCACATGCATGCACGTGTGCGCACGCGCAAAGCGTAAAATGACAAATATACTTGATATACTCGTAACTTTTATACTTTTTGATGAGATGCTTTGATACTCAAAATTTTTATATATATTAAAAGTGTAGACAAGACGACATGGTCATCGTGCACATGCATGCATGCATGCATGCACGTGCGCGCGCGTGCAATGTGTTAAATGACCAATATACTTAATATAGCCGTAATTTTTATATTTTTTTATGAAAAGCTTTGATATTAAGAATATACAGATATATTAAAAGTGTAGACAAGATGATGTGGACATCATGCTCATGAATGCACATGCGCGCGCGTACAATGTGTTAAATGACCAATATACTTAATGTAGCCATAACTTTTATATTTTTTTATGAAAAGCTTTGATACTAAGAATAAACCGACATATTATAAGTGTAGACAAAATGGCATGGTCATTATGAACATGCATGCAGGTGCGCATGCGTGCAATGCTAAGATGACCAATATACTTGATATAGCTGGAACTTATTTATTTTTTTGATGAAATGTTTTAATACTGAGAATATAAAGATGCATTAATAGTATAGATGAGATGACATGGTCATCCTGCACATGCATGCACGTGCGCGCGCGTGAAATGCAAAAAACTATCAATATACTTCATTGGCTTATTTAATGAAGCTTACAGGAAATAAGACACCAAAAGGGTGTTGGGGAGCGTTTGGGGAACATCTGTAACGGTCCCCGTTACAATTATAACTAGTTGGGTATATTTCTTCTATACCTCCGACTTGTACTACTTCTGGCCAAGATTGTTTAAGGTTTAGTTAGAAAACCAAGAATTATTTTCTGCACAAACGCATTTGTTGTATTAGAGGGTCAAGCTGCAGACCTGTAGTCACTGATCTGAAAAAAATTAAAATAGAAGACCAAAAAGTTACAGTTTCTTGCATTCAAAAGGGTGTGTATTATTTGCACACAAAAATCTGCAGTTCTCTCTCTCTCTCTCTCTCTCTACATTGTATGGTAAATATACGTATACGGAGGGCTTGTAAATCTAAAATCTCGATAAATCTATACAAGGTACTTTATCATTTACTTTGTTTCAAAACACTTAAACTATTTGGTACATATGATAAAATCTTAACTTGGAAAAATGAAAATTCACAAATATATAGAAAATTGATCATATTAATGATGATAAAATAAATGCTGTCAATACCAACGGTCACAAGGATTGGCGTATTATTATTCCAGTAGCTATCTTGCCAAAAATAATTAAGAACCTCACTGACCCCTTCCATAAAAGTCCGGAGATTAGAGTATAAAAAATAGTTTTAAAACCCAAAACCTAATAAGATGGTTTTGAAGTGCTTGATTTTGTTTTACATTTCTAATGCAAACCAGACCCTAGTGAATTAACTTATGTTCAAATCGGACAGAGAGTTTCAGAGACACACTGGAATAAACAAAGATTGAACAAGCATTTTCACAAATATTTATAAGAGATTTCTTCAATTTTCTGTTTAATTAATTATTCAGTATATCAAAAATGTGTTGAGTTGATTACTATTCAGTATATTATTTTTTTTTTTTCAAAAAGGGCACATATGCATGCACAAGTATTTATTTTATTTGATTTATTTATTTATTTATTTTTTGGTTAGCATACGCCTAACAAATTGTTCAGTGCAACACGTGTCTGACTGAAAGATAAGTTACACAATGAATAATGTCACATTTAATGCAAGGCACTTCTTCATAGAGATAAGATGTCTAAATCTGTTTATTAACGTAATCACTTGACAAAAACTTTAATTTCTTCTGCAAAATTTGAAACATTTGAAAAATTTGACATTCGTAAGGACGTGTATTAAATTGCAAAGCTGTTGGAATGTACCGTTACCTTTTAAAATATATCTATTATATTTTCTGTAGTATTTTCTTCATGGTAAATTTAGTTGCAAATTCATTGTTTTTGTGCTGAAAAAAATTGATTTAGTTTTTAGTTTTGTGTTTTAGAAAAAAAAAATATTTAGGAAATATCGGCCAAGGCAGCTCGCATATAAAAGTTTTGTCTTTAAGGTAAAACTCTTGCGGTGTTTGCACAACCTTTTCTAGAAAACATAAAAATTCCTTATGCCATATTAACAGTATAGTCCTTTTTCTGAATGCTCTTTTAGCGTATTTTAGGGTATTAACACTTAACAAGTGTTTTTTGTTGATTGTTGTGTCATTTTATGGTAGTACAAGTAATAGTTTCAATCGGAGGAAAACGTATATTTAAAAAAATCGTTTAGAACTCAACAAATAAATGAGAAATGTACCTAAAGATATGTCATTCATGTAAATATTTTAACACTTTTGCTGTATGAGTTATGATTAAACATACTTGCAGGCTGTTATTAAGACGAGGTCTGCCTGTATGTCTAAAATTCCATGTCAGAGATAGGGGGAATTAATATTCATCAATAGTTGTGATGTTGTATATATAAATCCTGAACTAAAGCCCAGTATATGCCCTCGCAAAATTAAAAATATTTTTTTCTCTTTCCCTAGACTTAGCACTTAAAGATTTTCATCTGTCATTGTTTTTGTGAAGATAGTTTGATTTTTTTAATCTATTCTGAACTGTGCGCTGACAATTTGACAATAATAGTTAACAATAAGTTGGGGTGCAATTTTTTTTTTAAACAACACAAAAAAAAAACGGGAGGTTTAAATATCATTTGGTAATAAAAAATACTCAATCCCATTCAATATCCAATAAACTTTACATACGCTCAGAAAGTGAAGTTTATGCAGCCAAGACTAATATTTCCTATTTTCATATGTTTCCTCAATACATTATAATACATGAATAATTTCAAAGCAATATTTACTAGAAACATAAATTTTAAGAAACCTAGTGTTGGTCGTTGACAGTCATGAACCGATTTTAATATATGCGAAACAATAGAGACATTGCAATAGATCGTGTGAAAAAGAGTTGAATTTAAACGTCCAAGGAACGTAAGGTTCACGAGGAGTCACGAAACCTTAAAAGTCATGTCACGGCAAATCAAGTACACGAATGGTTGTACGTCATATGTTCAAATATTTACACTAGATTTTGCTTTTTTTGTTTGCTGTCTGAGTATGCAAACGCAAATTGATATCGTTTTACTCTAGAATTCGAAATAAAACATTGCTTCATTTTATTTGTTGTCATGTTTTAAATCTCGATTAATGAATAAACTTGCTGTTTATCGCAATGAAAAAATAAGATATCTTTTTACAACTACTCAATTATCATATTTTGCTTTTCTCGCACCTTTAAAAATATCAAGTTTTCCATGATGAGTTGAAAATCTATATTTTGTTTAGCGCAATCGAATCCTACTTAAGGGTGAATCAAAAAAAAAAAATGACCAAACGCATATTTATCAATCCACACTAAAAATACAGGCAATGAAAATAAATTTCTATGTCTCAGCATATGTCTTTAGATAGTGTCTAAATACCTGCCAAATATCTCGTTGATATTTCAATTAACAAAAAAGTTATGCCCAAAAATGATGCTAAAATTGTCAGGAGTGCAACACCTTTTTGTGACATTTTGGAGATCTGTTAAATAAATAATAATGGTTTATGTTGAAAATAAAGACTTTCCCGATAATATCCAAAGTATTGAGCTTCAAATTTGGACTGTAGTAACTTTTGTTTATTCAAGTTGTGGTCATGGCTAATATTTAAAAAAATGTTATACCATGTCAGGAGTGCAACAGAAAAAAATGTAGTGTTGCCAAAAAAACATCAATTGTAAAATTCTGAAAGAAAATTAAGACAAAAAAGAATTTTCGAAGTGTAAAACAATAACTGACATACAATTTAAAACTTAAAAATGTTAAATAAATCACAAGCAGCATTAATGAGAGTCAAGTATATGTGCATACCCAATAATGTCAGGAGTGCAACATTTGATGTTTTGCTTCCAAGCATGAAAAAACTGTTATCATTATATGATTTTCTGATTTTTATTTTGGAAAATTAAGACACAAAGAACATTTTTACAAAATAGATTTATCAATTACAGGATCTGTCTGTGCTTCAGATCTATATTTCTATGGTCAGGAGTGCAACACATTTTTTTTTTAAAGATTCAAGTTGTGTGACGAAAACACTTCTTTTCATGCTTAGAAGTATTCATGAATTAATAATGATCTTTTTGTATAATTTAATACTAAATTATTGACAGTTTTATTATTAAAATCCTTCCTTTTTCAATTTTATCAATTCAGATGTGTTTTTATCTTTTTTGTGATTTTTTTAATGAACGTTAAAAATAAACACACTAAAACATTGTCATAAAATTCAATTAATCCATCCTTAACTTCACTGAAACAACTGAACAAGTTCTTTTGTAATTTTCACTTCATAATTCTACTTTAAAGGCCCCAATGCTTTTGGTCAGGAGTGCAACAAATATGTTAGAATTATAAATCATCCAATAAGAATAAAAATAAAGAAAAAATGATGAGTAGAAAATTTCTGGTGGGTTACTGTGTTCGTCCTCTAAAGGAAAATGTGCTATAAAATATATTTTATCTTCTAAATATACATTTAAGCTAGTTTTTGGCATAAATAGGGAATAATTCCAGATAAAACGCAAATTTTAAATACTTTCCTCTGTGTTAATTATGAAGTATTGGACTATAAATATTGCACAATTTCATTACCACTTGATGTTGCCAACACTTTATGAATTTTTGCGTTCTATGGTTTTAATTCTAAATTTTACTGCAGTCAGGAGTGCAACAAAACTGCTTTAGAATTACCAATGCTTTTTAACTATCTTTACTAAAAAATAAGTTGAAAAAAAATGCTTGATACTATTTGATGTTCAAATTACTATGTCTATTAACAAATTACAGAAATTTTACAGTCAACTCAGGGATTAGTTTTCATCATTTCACATATATTTTTAAATACAATTATATATATATATATATATATATATATATATATATATATATATATATATATATATATATATATATATATATATATATATATATATATATATATATTATACACTTTGCAAATAATCATGTTTTATGGTCTTCACAATATGAAAAACCTGCCTTAAATGATGAAAAATATCAAAACAACAAATTGATTTACAAAGTAAGAATGGGTTATTGTGTGTTATAATTTTTAAAACAATGTTTAATAAAATACATATCAGATGTCAGGAGTGCAACACAATAATGTAAAATAGGGTCACTTCAAAATCTAGTATTTTTTGTAAGAGAACTTGTATATCATTTTTTTTTTTTTTTGGCTTAGATTTAAAGAACTGACCTAAGTGGACAAAACACTGAATTGTGGGGAATTTTATTGCTTCATATTTTTTTCATATTAAAACTTTTCAAACCAGAACTGAAAAAATAATGTAAAATAACAATTAAAAAGCCAATTTTTTGTCACATATACAAGAGAAGATACTCAATCAAGGTCTAGATTTAATCATTTATACCCTTTTTCCATTTTGAAGCATAAAAAAACTATAATTTCTTGTGATTATGTATTTTAGAAAGTCTTCTAAGGTGTAATAATATTTTCTTCTTTTTTTTTTTAAAAAATTTTACTAATAAAAATTCTGAAACTTTTTAATCCAATTGTCTATTCTATTGCCACTTCAGGATTTTAAACTAGAATGTTGTGCAATATGATGATATAAGTGAAAAATATGTTATAAGTAGTCCAACTTTTCCAAAAAAAAAAATTCAGTTTGGTGGTCATTTTTTTTAAATTCACCCTTGAATATTTTAATCTTAAAGTCACTTCTAAAATCCTTCTGATGAATAACGATATTTTACTTGAAACTAAGTTCATGTCCGTGGTCATAAAGCATTAATATTTTTTTCATAGACTCACAGAAATCTTGTGGAAAATCAATTATAAATCTTTTAATAACTGGAAAATGTGAGGAAAAAAACACGTTTATTTAAAAATCAGCAAAACGCCGATGACATTTCTAAACCTATACAACCGTTCCTCACGATTAATGATCACTTAAAGACCAAGCAAGTTTTTACATCATGGATATTAACTGATTCCTCAGTAAAAAATGAAACTCGAGATTTTCATATCTTGTGATTGTTCATCTACAAATTAACTTTGTTCTGATTCGACAGAAAAGTACTCTGAAGTTAAATGGAAGAGATGCTTGAGTTCCTTATTTATTAACTATGTCTTTGTAGTATTTGGAGACCAAATCTTCCAACAATTTATTGGATTTCCGATAGACAGAAGTTGTGCTCTGATATACCCTAATAAACTCGAAATAAAAGGCACCACAGAGTCTGCCACATCTATGTTTTGCTGATTGTAGATTGTATGGGAAGTTAATAATTAAACTCTATAATACTCGTAAAGAGGATGACCTGTTTATATTTTCCTAAGATACATATTTTTTCTCAAAAAATTCTACATGAGAAAAAAATCTTGCTGTGGCATTTAATTCGATATTTAGATATGTATTGACGACTTTCTAGCACGTAATAATACAGTATTTATGTTCATATTTCCACATCTGTTTCATATTTGGATATTTTTCTGACTATAAATTTGTATGGAAGTCTCGTTCGAAGTCAGCATTTCACAAGTTTTAGGTCGGTATAACGGTCTTATTTGCAATTAAATAAAGCATATCGTTGTTTCGAATGTAATACTAATTTCTAAGCAATTATTTTTATGCTAATTTTGGCTACTGGTTATTTCGTTTATCTGATCAATACGGAGTGTTCACGGCGGATATGACCTGTCGACAGGGCGCGGATCCAGGATTTTTTTCCATGGGGGGATTCCACCCCAGTCAAAAAAATTCCAGCCCAGAAATTTCTTGACAAGCAAAGAAAAAAAAAACCCAAACTTAACTCCTTTCCTAAACGTATCAAACCCAGAACAATTCTAAACAAGTAAAATTCATTTCCCAACGTGAAAAAACTATATTTCGTGGTGGTGGTGGGGTCAACGTTTTCTTAGGGGGGGGGGGTCCAAAGTTATTTTTATTTGCTTCAGTATATACTTTTAATAACGCTGCAATTCCCAGGGGGGGGGGGGTCCGGAACCCCGACCCCCCTCTAGATCCACGCGCAGATATTTCAGATTTTGAAAGATTCTGTATATTCGATAAAGTTCTCTGGAAATGTAAGATTGATCTTTGTTTGTTACCTCCGTGTTTTTTCATCATAAAAATAAAACTAGACTCAAAGACAGAGAGAAAATGATAATGATAAAAACTCAGTTTAATATATATATATATATTATATATATTATATATTTCAGTTTACTTTCAATTTTATGAAGTTCTCTTTTTAGAAATGAATATTAAATTGGCACTCAGAAAAAACATTGCTAATTTTTGGCTGTTTTAAGGTTGTCACCCTTTTCAAGATGGAAAATATGTTTTTCCTTCTTTAGATATTAGCTGGGTGTACGCAATATCAATGACTTAAATCGTTTAAAAAGTCTTTCATACAAATTAATTCAAAATCTCTTGGATCAGAGTGACCGATTTTTTTTTAAAATAAGCACTTTGTTCATGATTTTTAAAATCACATTTTAAAATTCTGCCAGTGTTTATAGTCAGATTTTCAATGTGCCTTTTCAGTGTCGTTACTATTAGACCATCCATTTTATTTGTCTCAGCACACAGTAAACATCACAAAAAATCGTGCGAATTATGATCATCATACGACCGTTATAATTGTAAAGGGATCACGATTTGTTAACAGGTATGACATCAAGATTTCAATTTGATTGGTTGCACAATTTCCTCTCATGTGATTAAATATTTAAATGATTTTTTTTAAACGCAAAACACCGCGTTTTAAATTATTTTGGGAAAAGAAATGGTAAAAGCAAGAAACATCATACTGACAGTATCTATCATGGTAATTATCACTGTGACAAATATTGCAAGATTAACACCACGGATAACGAATATGTCAGGTAACGGTCATATTGGTATCAAAGTGTATTTCATAAAATATAAGTAGTTTACGTTCTAATATATATATATATATATATATATATATATATATATATATATATATATATATATATATATATATATATATATATATATATATATATATATATATATCTTTAAAAATTAATGTTAATCAAAATACAATCTTTAAGAGCAACGTGATCTTAATTTGAAATCTTCAATATAATTGGCATAAATATCACATTAATATATGGTTTCCTAATCCTATTGTCGCACACAATTTCAATTTTTTTTCCTCAGATATTTATTTATGAAATACATGTACATAAAATAGAAACTTTGATTATACATTTTTATCAGTTCTATGCTTTCTGAGAAACCCCGTTTTAAAAGTATTCAACCTTTTCTATTGTAACCCCCCCCCCCCCCAAAAAAGAGAACATATTTTTGATTTTTTTCCTTAGGATTTTTAAAATCCAGAAAAAGCTTACATATTTAACTGGTTGTAAGATTTTATGTTCCATACTCTTTCAGTCATATGATTATATCCTCACCGTATGAATAATAGAAAGACCTAGCACGACACAAAAGATGAAAACTAGAAGTACCTGTTTCAATATGGCTTACATAAGATGTATTGAATGCGGTGCTTTCTCTTGTAATAGATTGTGTTATTACATGTATGTTTTATTAACAATTTAGCCTTTTTTTTCAATTTATTTATTTACTTATCCGCCATTTTTATTTCATCTTATTCAGAGGTTCTTTCTTCATTAAAAATCTGAAGATCTTCTAAAATCAGGTAAACAAGAGGACGAAAGTCCTCCCTCTACCAAATAACTTTTGTTCATATGACAATTTGTGTCTTTTTATGTCATGCCTAACACAGTGAAAATGGAGCTTCATTACACTTGTGAGAATGAGAGAGAATCAGCCACGGGAAGGAAAAATAATGGTAATGAAATTTTGAAAAGTATTTATGAATAAACATTTCTCGAAAAATTATAAAAATCATGGCTATTCATACAAAGATGCCATACCATAAATGATTTACATAAAGTCAGGTATTTTACATAAAGGCAGTTTCCCTTTTCCATTATAAAAACGTTCCCTCTTCTGCTACAACTGTTGAATTAAGCATTATATTCTAATCACTTTCATTTTAGAACTACTTTTCTAAAATATCTCTTATCTTTTTATTCTTTATTAGACAGTAATGTTTCCATGACGCTCGTGCTTGGTTATATGAGGGGCGGATCATCTTTAACTGGTGACATAATTCGTTATAACCACGGAGAATTTTACATTTTTGAACCCCTACACGGACTGATCGAACTAGCAATCAAAAAAGATATACCAGTTAGATTTCTGAACGGAACATCAAGACGGTAGGATGTAATATCTAATTTACATAGTGACATTTGTTATGATGTCATAGAGATGATGTAGTTAACATGACATCGACATTTAGGTTACAAACTCATCAGAGAAATTACCTGAATATTCTCTATATTGACACTAAGTGGCATTTTAAATCTTTATTTGAAATATCCATCACCATATTATGACGATGATAATTAACATTCAACAATTTAGTGTCTATCTTTATTAGCATATTTGGTCATTAAAGAACTGCAAAGTTGAAATAATCTTCTTCCATCCATTTATTTTTTTTTGTAGACTGACTCTAACCGATACGACTGTTACTGATATGATGGTTGACTTGTTATACAACTGGTTTACATGCAATCTCTGTGAAATAGATTTACTCAGTTTGTCCAATGAATTTATTCATATCTTCACACCAGAACACGATGCATATTATAACTGCATACAGAACTCTCGGCAAAGAACTCCACTAAATGAATACGTAACCAAATGTTTACCATATTTACAAGAGAAATGTATCAAAGCGAAAACAAGGACCTTGAAGACAATTCGGTTTCCTATGACCGCTGTGGAGACCTTGCTTAAGCGGCTACCATCTTTAAAAGTGGTACATTTAGTCCGTGATCCAAGGGCTATTTTACAATCACAACTGGTGACAAAATTAGCAAGTGTGGTAAATTTTGATAAATATTCAATGAGTTTTTGTAACAGAATGAGTGAAAATATTCAGTATGAAAAACAGTTGTTGGTAAATTATCCTCATCGAATTCGAAGACTTGTATATGAAAATCTCGCTATCAACCCAAGAGATGTAACCAAACGTTTATATGACTTCTTGTTTGCAATTTTCGATGAAAATGTTGAGAAATATGTCAAATCTTTAACATCTGGACCAATTGTACCTTGTGAATATTGTACAAAGAGAGGAAATTCAACTGTCAATGCATTCAGATGGATGAAGAAAATTCCAGCAAAGTATTGTCGTCTTATTGACAAAAATTGTATTGATATCTATAGAGAGGTTGGATATAAGGAAATGTCATCTACTGAACTGAATAGCAAGGATAGATCATGGTACCCAAATAAGTATCAAACAAATTTAACATTATAGAACACAGTATTGCATTAATACAACGTTTTTGTTGAATGCACATAAAGCAGACCACAGATTGTTTTCAGATGACGGGAGTTTTTAGAATTAAAAAAAAAGAACGTTTTCGACTTTCAGCAGAAATTTTTCAACTGATTAGCTAGAAAACAAGGTATCATTCTTTTGTTAGATATAGAAACATTGCCATAAGTATATTAATTAGGGTTGCCAATGGAAATTTAAGGATAACAAACAGTAACCAAGCTCAACAATCCAATTAATTAAAAATTAAAAAATCGAAGACGGACCCTTAAAAACATTGTAGATCGGATCAGGTGCCATTAAGAATTAAATCCTCTGTCGCCCGTTTCGTTTTATTTTGATCAGGGAATCTAAGTAATCGGTAGACAAAATTTTATATGAAAATAATGGCGTAATAATTCGCCTTGAAAACATTAGTTAACATTCCACCTGACAACGGGTTATATTTACAAATAAATTGCAACAACAAAGAATGTGCGAAGAGTTGATTTTAAACGCAATTATTGATAGTTTACCCTTGTAACATGAATTATTTTTCAGTACCCTGACTCGATTTAGAAATTTATCGTACGCTGAACATGCTCTATCAGATCAAATCAACCATAGGACATAACCCATTTGCAGGTGATAATGGTAAATTGCTACATCCACAAGGAACGTTGACGATAGAAGAGTTGATATGATTATATTTATCATGAAGATTAGTTGTTAGTTTGCCATCAATGAATCTCTCTAATAAACATCCAAATCTGAAACAGATATGTCAGATTCTTTGTATTTTATTTCGAGTTCCGTGAGATGTATGAAAGTAACGTATGAATGAAAATCAAAAGCTCAAAAGGGAAAGAATCAACATTTCTCCTCTTTATGCTACCAAACATTTGGGCGTGCTCTGTTGAAACCACTCTGTTTAATTTTTTATCTTTCAATGCGTCTTGGGGCCCCATCTTGGGGCAATCAGTACACAAAATGCAAAGCTTTTACCAGTCAAATAACAAAGTTACAAACCTGAAAATTACAAAGGCCACAGTGAGGATTCTATGGATTTTTCCCCTAAGATGGCGGCCAAGGGACATAACTTTTGAAAAGTGTGGATTCAACAAGATCAGGTTTGTTTTTAAAGCAATAAACTCTTTATAGAATAATTATAATTAATATTTCTGTACTTTTGGCACAAACTGTTCTTCTATTATTAAATATTATAATGATATATTATCATTTTTAATTTTTCAAATCGAAAATATTAGGTGGACATTCCACATATTTTGTGTCTCTTGCTGCTGATTTTACTGCCATGGATATAGAGTTCCCATTATCCTCTATCATATAAACCCTATACGGGTCAAATGCTGCTTCTTTAGCATTCTCCAAAGTTCTGTGTAGCCCTGAATCTGTAATCTCAAAAGGTACCATTATATTAACACTTATTCCATCATTATGCAAATTCACTATTTGTTGTTTTATGCGTAATATATCAGTTTTTGCCCAATTTCCATTTGTGAATAGATAACAAATTTTTCTTGCATTGGGTCTGCTGCCTGTTGAACTTCTGTTAAACAATTCGTCTTGCAAACGCGATAGAGCGAAAGCTGTGTTTCCTTTCTTGTCTTCGATGGAGACTGTGTACAATTTAGCCTTAGTGTCTGGAATTGATCTTTGATGAAAGTCGAACTGTATTTGAGTATCATTGCTATACGTCATCATTGCCACGCTAACATTTGTATTCGTTGTGTCAAAGGAATCAAACAGTTTTTCGACCACTTTCAGCGAATGGAGGGAGTTTTCCACCAGTGGACTCGAGTCTTTCGAAGTATCGAAGAGGATAACAACATCAGTCACAGAGGAACTATTGCAATCTGAAGAAAAGTTCAAACAAGAGTGTTACGTGCCAGCAAATCCCAACTTATCCCAACAAAACGCGTTTTAAAACCATTAACAAACAAGACTTGTCCCAACAATTCTTAAGGTCCAGAATCCCCTCAAAAGATGAATATGAAAACGTAATACGGTAGCTTTCCCTAAAATCATCAAATAAGTTTACCTGTACAACCGTAGTCCGTTGCATCTTTTAACATCGCGAACAAGAGATCGTCGTTATCAGGGGCAAACGTGTACGAAGGGTCCGTAGAGAGTTGCACTAGTTCTTCATGACCAATATCTTCACCGACACCTACCACAAAGATCTTGAATCCTAAATATGTGGCTTTCAGGATCTGTGCTCTTTGAATAGCTTGGGCCCGATCTGTTGACAGTCCGTCAGTTAAAAGTACTACATAGTGACTGATGTTAGATAGCAGACGAGCGCCATTTGCTGGATTTAGGATTTCCTGAAATCGTTAAGAAAGGATACATATGGAGTTAGTATTATATAAATATTGTATGGCCGTAGGAACCGGTGGGCACGGAGGGCCGTGCCCCCTCTCAAAAATTTTACCGATATATAGAATACCATAGAAAATATAGCTACTACATGCTTGTGCCCGTTCAATAATAAGGCCCAATGACCTTTTTTTTTTGCTTGTCAAGGAATTAGTAGTTGAGTTGATAGTGCCCACTCAACTGAAAATGTATGCCTGTGCCCCTCAAAGTGAAATTGCTTCCTACGGGCCTGTATTGCACGCAGTTGAGAGTAATATTGAAAATTTTCAATAAAAGAAAACCAATGTCAACATATGCGCAGTTTAGTAGAGGGGTGAAAATGTTTAATGTTACCCTCAATGAAATGCAATAGGCCCTATTGCTTTATATTGAATGTTTAATAGATAACGGTGAACCGTGTGCGCATAAATTTTACGCAGTCAAAATTTTTTTGAAATACAGTATCACCCATCGTCAAGCAATGTCGACTGTTGCTACGTTCTATTACGCTGGAGGGCGTAGATTTTTAAATACAAATATTTCTCGACGAATCAGTTTCAACTAATTTACAAGAAATTATAAAATCAAATTTTATTCCCTAGAAGGCTGCCGTATTTTAATCAATCTTGTTTAAATGCACACCATATTACTTAATATGATTATTCACATAATGACAAAATGAAGAAATATAGTCAAAAATGCTTTTGTACATATTTTCATTAAACGGTAGATACCTGTGAAATAAACGAAAGTGCATCTGATGTTTTAGTCGCTCCCCTTTCATTCCTTATGAAAGAAACTGCATCAAGGAGACTTGAATTACTCCGATAAGCTGTGAAATTAAAGACCAGTTCTGGTTTGGAAGCAAAAGACACGAGGGACACTTGAAAGTCGTAAGATCCTATGGGAACATGTTTTATGAATTTGGTCATGTAAGCAATGGATCTATTCATGGCCTCACTTTGACTCCATGACGTATCAACTAAGAACATGACGTCAACAGGACCTGGTCTGCAATCTGTAAGCCATAAATGCAAAGGAAAACAACTTTTAAATAATAAGCCAAGAAAGTTGAAACTGTATCGCCTCAGGCACTTTACCTGTTTCACAATGAACTCCTTCGTATCTCTCACTACAGACGCACTTATAGCTGTTGATTCTATCCTCAATGCAGTCGTTCCCGTACATACAGGGGAAGCTCAAACACTCGTCAATATCTAGAAAAATAAAATGTTTGTACTGAAAAAAATATTTATTCAGGATTTTGATTTCTGATCTAAGTTTTCACAATCTGTGATCAGTATACATGTATATGTATAGATATTACATCAGTTTCTATTTCTGATCCCCTCACCTATCTCACAGTTGGTCCCTGTCCAGCCAGGTAAACACGTGCACGTGTACTTGCTTATACCATCGTGGCACGTCCCTCCGTTTTGACAAGGGTTGCTGTCACATTCGTTTATGTCTATAACCACATAAATCATAAAAACATATCGAAAAAGTTACAAATTTCATGTATTAAGACGGTCTACAATAATCAGCCTTACCAACACAAGCATGCGCGAAGTGCGCTGGACAGGGGGTGGTCAACATACAGAACTGGCCTGGTGCACAAGGTGTTGTCAAGGTTGCACACCTCTGTTCTCTTGTATATTCTTGTTGTTCCTTAAAATAAACGCATTTAAATACCTGTAAATAACTTTCTCTTGGATATCAAAATTGATATCTCTAGAGGAAAGCAGGCACTACAGATATCTGGTATGATCAGAAACAACAAATTATTCAACGAATATTTTTACACTCTTGAAAGGTGGCAGTTTTGAAGAATTGTTATAAGAGAATCATGTGATTGTCTCCCTATGGATAAACACGTATCACCTTAAATAATGTTTAATATATTATTTTGACCCATGTGTTAAGTGCCATAGGCCTGGCAATTATCAACCAATGATGACGCGATTTCTATATATAGAGTTGTTCTGACCATTTATAAGTAACCCCCCCCCCCCAAAAAAAAAGAGAAAGAGGGAGGAAAAAAAGAAACGGTGGTGGTTCAAGCTTTTATACTACTTATGTATTTTACCTATTTTTTTTATTTATCTTAGAGCCGAAAAACTTAAGTTTTATATATACCCTAGTCATTCGACAACTTGTGGTCCTGTGTATAAAGTTTAACAGAATTCAGCAAAAGAATTTCAATAAAAGCATATTTTAGAACTTAAAGACACGAGTCATGTTATATATTTCCCGGATGTTGGAACAAAGATAATCTAGAATCATTTTTTTCCAGCGCTGTCCACGGTCGGGTATTCGGTTTTTTTCTTTCTTTAAAACTGAATTCACTTTATAAACCTGTTACCTGTGAATAAATGTTAGAGCGGTAATTTTTTTTTTATTGCATTTTGCCCTGACTGAGATTTCAGGGATTAATTAAAACACATGCTTATCTTTTTTATGCGCAATATTAAAATGCATTGCCATGATTGTTGGTGAATGAAGAAAATCATGAGTTTACTCCTCCCGCTATTCTTGAAAAAATGCTTAAATTTTTATTTTTTTTTTTCTGGAACAGTCCAAAAATCTGGGTCGGTAAATTGGGATTATTTTCCAGGGAATTTACCTGATTTTATTTAATAGCATGTTTAAATTTTATTATTTACCCAGGTGCGGATCCAGGATATTTTGGGTTTGGGGTGGGGTTGGGTCCACCCCAGTCAAAAAAAATCCAACCCAGAAATTTGTTGAAAATCCAAAAAAAAAAAAAAAAAAAAAAAAAAATCCTTTACCTAACGTGAAAACTGATTTCGTGGTGTATATGTGGTGGTGGTGGTGGTGGGGTGGGGTGATGAGTCGTTTCCAGCACTTCTTAAGCTTAATATGCATTAATCTTCCTCCCAACTTAAGAGGGGTTCACGATTTTAAGGGGGGGGGGGTTCAAAGGTCATTTTTGAGTTATTTTCCTATGTACATTTAATACCACCGCAAGTTCCGGGGAGTGAAGTCCGGACCCCCCCCCCCCCCCCCCCAATCGACACCACTCTAGATCCGTGCCTGTTACCTGTTAAAAAATGCGTGTGAACATTATTTCACTTTACACATTACAAACAAAGATACTTTGCTGAGTATAGCAAAGCCTCTACCAAGCCTTATTCTGACTATTCCTCGAAAAATATTAACTGCTGTAAATGATAAACTTCAGACGTACTGCGCTACAGCATATTCTAGAAGTGTTGTAAAAAAAAAAACTCCAAAGAACTTTAAGTAAATTTAAATTTCCAAATTTAAGTTTTCCAAAGTCTGTAATTTCAAAACGCACGACTTAATTTTCTACACTTTATACAACCGTTCCTCACAATAAATTAAAACTAGGCTTTTTTGATATCGTAGACAACTGCATGCTTCTTCAAGAAAAACGGAAATCAGAAATTGTCATACATTGTGATTGGTCATCAACGATTTTATTTTGTTAAAAACCACTCATATTCTACATACAATCACTCTGATGTTGATAATGAAAAGAATGCAGGAGTTCCTCATTGACAACATCTTTGTAGTCTTCGGAGACCAGGACAAACTGTTGGAATTCTAATGGTCTGAAATTATGCTCCTTTAATAGCTGATCTGTTTTTTAAAATTATCATTATTTTTCATTGAAGCAGAATTTATTCAAAAAATTCTACATAAGAAAACACTTTAAAGCCTTTAAAACCACATTCAGAAATATCAACGACGTTTTATCAATTAACGATAGTTACTTTCATTCAGAGGTCGACTCAATATAACCCAGTGAACTCGAAATAGAAAAAAAAACACCACAGAGTCTGCTACATTTGTTTCATACATGTATTTGGATCTTTTAATGACTATAGACGATAAGGTCATCATATTGTATGACAAACGAGTTTTTCCATCGTCAGCTTTCCTTATTTATGTAGTAATAATTGACATTTTAGAGTAACGCAGGCACCACAGATATCTTGTATGACCAGAAACAACTTATAATTTCAACGAATGTTTTTGCGTTCTTGAAACATTGTAGTTTTGAAGAATCATTATAAGAGAATCATGTAAACTGTACGGGTATCACTTTGTTCATGTGTGAGCTTTTGTACAAAAGAACATTTCTATATATTCATTTCGACAAAAATGTAACAGCACATTATATTTTCTTGCTCTTATTTGATATAGTACTCTAATCCTTTGAAAAAATACTCTTTATCTAAGTCTTACTTGACAATAGGGTATGTGAAGTTCACACCAAGTTTCATATCCCGGTAATAGCTGTGTACAGTAGGCTGGGTCCGGAGACGCGGTAGAACTCAGAGCAGTATGTCCAGCATGTCTTTTGTGTAGGAATGATTTGGCCTCATGCTCGGATACTTCCGGGTAGTATAGGGAATGCTGATGGTCTCCGTGACCAAACACTGATGAAGTTAATTAGAAATTATTTTAAAAAAAAGAAAGAAAAAAAGAAAAGAAAAAAATCTTCAGAAAAAAGTAAATATTAGTAATAGGTACATGTACTTACCTAAGGAAATAAAAGCGCAAACCAAAATCAATGTCAGCATTGTAAAAAAAATATGTTCCACTGCATTGCAGTGTCTTATCTATATGTATAAAACACAATCCCGGAAGCAAAGTTCAGTGTGTGTGTGAAATAATAGGTTTAAAAGGAACCAATCGCCCTTCCGAAGTTATCAGCCAAATTGTTTAAGCTCTTTTAAAAAATCTTCTTTTTAAAGGCCTTATTCCATTTTATTTTTACTTTATCGATTCATTGTATGGATAGTTCAGTGCAGGATCGATAAACGAATTTCGTGCATTTAAAATACCTATGGCCACGTGTATGATAAAAAGAAAGCGTAAATTCATATAAGGTTAAGCTTAGATCTGTATGATAATAAAAAACAATAATATGAGCGTACACCCCCCCCCCCCCCGGATTTAGAGTTCTCTGAATTTCCACCTAATTCCACAAATCATTTTAAAAAGGGTACCTTTTAAAGTGATTTTATCCAATCTATATAATTCTATCATATAGAGTTCCTTTCAGTATGACTGATATTTATCATTATTTTAGCTCATCTGTAAACAAAATTTATTAGATTTTAAATCATTGTTCCACAGAAAATAATCATAATCAATTTTCTAACCTCTTGACCTTTCGTCGGTTAGAAATGTACGTTAGTTAAAACGTTTTCAACTTTTTGATATTTATTGAAGTGAGTCAACAGTATTTACAATATCTGAGTTACCGACGAAAAGAGGATTGTCAAACTATGTCCTCCGGGGGCGGATCCAAATCTTTTTCAAGAAAGGCAATTTCAAGTACAAATTTCAATCGAGCTAAAACAATCTGACAAAGAAAGAGGGTTAGTCATACACGATGGATAATATACGACAGCCAAATACGACAGCTCTTGCATCAATGTATAGTACAGATCAATAATACAATATTTTACGTACTTTCACCCTCTTAATGCGAATAATAATATTAACAAATATAAGTATACACAATAAAATTTCTTTCTTTGTTAATTCGATTTACGGTTGCAACTATCGCAGAAAAACTTATATAAGCCATTTACTCGGGCTATGTATTTTTTTCTGCATTGTCGCAACCGTTTCTCCGTATAAACAAACAAAGCAGTTTATTTTTCAAATTACAAACTCATAACACCTTGCGAAACACACACACTCAAAAAAAACTATGTAAGTTCATGTATGAAACTTTCAAGTATGAAAAACAAAACTAGATCAATGTAATCATTAGATAAATAAAAAGGGTGTGACGTCACAATCATCGCCTCTACTTGAGATGTGACGTCACATCCCCTCTTCATTAGGTGACGTCACAATCAAACTCGATAAATAGTGTGTTGTCTATAACAAAAATTCTAAGGTATGCAATATATTAAATTTTTTAATGATATCAATTCATTTTTCTTTCATCTACTACAAATTTTTGGATAATTTTTCTTATTTCATTAAAACAGATTTCTATGCTTCGACTTGAGTATTTTGCAAAAAGATGGATGTTATTGATTTCTACATTGTTCCACTCCTTGTGAAGTACATCAACAGCTTGACAAGCAAAGGTCAGTATCTCCGAGAAATATGCACAAAACAATTTATAAGGATTAACAGAAAAAATTGCTTGAGAGAAATTGTGTTTCTAATAAATGTAATAAAGAATTGTAACTTAACATCTTGATTTTATTGAATTAAACATGAACATTTTTAATGTTAAGGAGTTTCCAGTGTTCAAATTTTTAGCATGAAATAGTAGCGAAAAAAAGGTATTGTGTGGTGGCGTATGTCTGCCCCTTGTGTGCAAGTAATTTTTCTATCAAATATGTCGACATGCAAGATAAATATGTTGACATGCAAGATAGTTATGTCAACATGCAACATAACTATGTTGACATGCAAGAAAATTGCAATCAAATAAAAATTATAAAAAATCTTCAATAATCTCAAATATCGCCTACATGTGACATCCAACATGCTAGATGCTACTTATTTATGTTAACATGCGAGATAAATATGTTGATATGCAACTTATTTATGTCGACATGCAACTTGGTAATGTTGACATGCGAGATAAATATGTTGACATGCAACATATTTATGTCGACATGCAATTTATTTAAGTTTACATGCATTTTTCAGATGCAGTTCTGCTATGACCTTAACCTTAGACCTCGGACGAACAGATGGGCGGACGGACACATTAATTACTATAGGTAGCCCGCAGAGAGGAGCCCTAAAAACGTTTTATAATCTACGGTCACGTTTCTGAATCGCCAGGACATTTTATCTAAGGAAATCCAATTCATACTTTGTTGTCCACGTCATATTATAGAAAATAATTTAAATTGCAACATTTGCTTAAATAAATTTTCGATCATTAAAATCAACTTCAATTTTAATGACAGAAAAAAAACAGAACCGTGCCTCATTGCACATGTCTTGGATAGTAACGAATCTGCACGCTCGCAATGTTTATATTGTGTATCACATAATTTCTTTTGCATTTAAATTTAATCACATAGTTCAAAATCTTATCATTTTGAAAATCGATCATATTTTTAAAAAAAAGTATATATCCAAAATGAAATCACAAATCGATCATATTCACTGTAAACTTTTTCACAATTCCTTTTCATGTCAACATATTTATCTCGCATGTCAACATAACTAAGTTGCATGTTGACATAAACAAATTGCATGTTGACATGACTAAGTTGCATGTTGAGATAAATAACTTGCATGCCAACATATTTTTTTCGCATGTCAACATAAATAACTTGCATGTCGACATAAATAAGTAGCATCTAGCATATTGGAAGTCACATGTGGGCAATTTTTGAGATATTTTAAAAATTTTTTATAATTCTTATTTGATTGCAATTTTCTTGCATGTCAACATACTTATGTTGCATGTTGACATATTTATCTTGCATGTTAACATATTTATCTTGCATGTCGACATATTTGACGGAAAAATAACTTACATACAGGGGGCAGAAATATGCCACCATAGTATTGTAATAAAAATTCAAGTTTTATAATGATATTTTTTGCTGTCATTGTTGCATATCCTTGTACTATATTAGTTTTAATTCTTATTCTTTGGTTCTCTTTATTTACATGTATCTCCAGAGGAAATTCCAGAAGCACGGCATTTGGGATGTGAGACAATCAAACAAAACCCACACCTAAAGCCGTGTACCTAAACGACCAGTATAGTTATGACGTGGTGGTCGAGTTGGGAATGAAAAATGGAAAACCATACACCACGGACACAAAAGACAGCAATAGATGCATCATAGCAAATTTTTTGCAGGTAAAGTCTCAATCAGTCAGCTGCAGTCTCTAGAATATAAAAGTATGAATCCATAATTAAATCTTATAGCGTTTGGTCAAAGAAGGGCCCGTCCTAAACGAGAACCGCATCCACATAAAGCCAAATGCAGCATATAAAGCACGGTAGCGTTTATCTCTAATGTATCATCTATGCAAGTTCTATCCAGATACCATTATGTCACTATGAAATGGACCATCTCCCAGGACCTTGGTCTGGTCACTACTTTGGAAATTCGCAAGCTCAAATGGACCATCTCCCTCGTTACTTTTTGGAATCTCCCTGAATACTTTTTTGGAATCTCCCTGGTTACTTTTTTTGACTAGATCAGATGCAGAATCTGAAGCACGATTACCAGTAAATGTAGAACGCTTTATTCCAGCTAGTCCACACATAGACTTGTTCCAAAATTTTTCTGGCCACTCATCCATTCATTATGAGCAATAAAAGCATGATGAGAAATATATATTCTAAATACATGTACATGTATATCATCATTGCAAGACTGATTAAGATAAGGCTTATTCTGTAGTTGCATGGAAATAATATCTTCGATCGTTTAAAACAATGGCATAAAATAGGATCTGTAGGTATAGTATGAGCTAGTCTTTGTGGAAATGAGCTTTATAAAATAAAACTTCAAAACAAAATTCTTTCAGTTATTTTTATTTAAGCAAATATCTTTAAAGATTTTTAAGTGATATATCATCTTGCACTGTATATTTTTAAAACCTGTGTATCAAGATTACAAATATGAACCAAAAAAAGTGTTTTGAATTTAACCACAATGAAGTTTCATAAAACCACTTCTTTGAATAAATAAACATTTCTTTCTAAAGCCGTGTTCAACCTTTTTTTTTTTTTGAAAAATGCACACACAGACTGACAGTTTTAAATGTATATTTATACATAGGATAACTAAAACACACACACAATATTTTGACAATGATACATGAACAAAATATGCATGTAAACATGTGTGAACATACATACAACACAGGCAGTGCCATCTGAGATTTAATTTCATCCACTTTTTGATACAGGTACATGTAAACAAATTCAGTGTTTCTCAAAAAAAAAAAAAAAAAATGAAATGAGATTTATTTCACCCACCCCCTACATTATACAAAATCACCCTTAAATGAATTGTTTTTTACTCAGATATTAACATGTAATAATCTCACAATATCCATACAAACACAAAACTATACACCACAACTTGAGAGTTGGCTCCAACTTGACCTAGAAAACAAAACACAACAATTTTTTGCTTGTGTAAATTCCTTTTGATACACACTAGTATTCTAACACATTAAAATACAACAGTCATTACGCACATGCCATCAAGTTTGTGGCTGTGTGTTCTGAAACTACAAAAAATATTCTAAGAGTACAACAGATGTATGACATCTACTCTAAAAAAAGTCATCACAGGCACAAGTGATACTCTAAACATTAAATGTAACATGTAAAGCATGGAAACCTGAATGGAATAATGACACTAAATGCAGGGGGGTAACATTCATAATCTTTAACCTTGAAATCTAGCCCACATGTCTTGAAGAAGAAATAATACAGATTAACACAGCTTTTTCATGTAATATCCTTGTCCTTGAACATTTTGTTTGTTTTCTTTGACCTTCAATCATCATCTGACAGAGTTTCATATTGTGATGACAGAAGAAGAGCTGGTTCATGGTTCCTTTGTTGAAATCCAAGTTC